AGAAGAGAAGAGAAGAGAAGAGAAGAGAAGAGAAGAGAAGAGAAGAGAAGAGAAGAGAAGAGAAGAGAAGAGAAGAGAAAACTCCCTGCAACATGTACCTGATTTACTGGACATCAGTAAAAAGCCCTCTGGTAAAAATGTAGAAATATATAGAAACAGTATCAGGAAATTTATGTATTAAGCTCTTTGCATTTTATAGGCTTCCCTATTCTGAGTGGCACAGAGAATAAAAATAGCAAAAATACAATAATAAAAGTACAATAGTATTAGAATTCAAAGAATGAAGCAAAAAACTACAAGACTGGGAAAATAATGTTATGACCAACACTGAAAATATTATGGTAAACATTCTTTTTGTATTTTTGTTTTTCTTCCTCTCCTTTTCTATTTTCTAGCACTTTTGCTTTCTATCTTTTTCTTTTTCTTTTCCTTGATTATTAGTTTGTATTCATTTTTATCTTTCTGCTTTTTCAAATTTAATAAAGCTATTATAAAATAAAATATTATGGTAAATATTTGGTGGACTTCTTTAAGGCAATCACCTCACTGCCACAGAAAAAGTTTCTTGTAGCCATTACTTGGCATGAATACAGAAAAGGTTCTCGGGAGAACAAAGAAGGTTCTCAGGTCAGCGGCTCACAGAGACTGACCTCTAACTCTGGGACATGTTATCACTTCAGACCTACTTAATCTGAAGGACATTAAGAGAACTAGACTTTGAGAAGTTCATTTGGAACAATGTGCTCATGTGTGACTGGGTTCAGATCAATTATACACCTAGCTAGTAGTTTTAGCCTTGATTAGGGGTTGTTGTTTGTGGGGGGGTGGGTAGCATGTAAGAACCCAAGCCATTTGCTTAGTTTATGATTTACTCAGTTGTGTGTGAACCCTCAAAATGAGTTAATCTAGTTAGCAAGCCAAGGTGCTAATATAGGCCCTGCACCCATAATATATTTAACCTAGTGAGTTATTATCTGTATCAGATCTTACTGGTGCTTCTGGCAACACCCAACCACACTAAATCAAAGTCCCCATTTGAGAATACAGTGGTCCTGCCAACTTTCTCCAGGAAATGCCTGATGTCCCATGAATCTCTGTGCCAGGAGAGTCCTGGCAGAGTATCATGGCATCTCTAGTCCTTACCCCCACCTGGGCAGGTAAGAAGCAATAGGCATGGATTGGCTGCTGAGGAGTGGGCTGTTCTGTTCTGCTAGGCTTTTCACCTACTTTTTTCTCATCAGCTTTAATATTCTCGGAGGAATAGGCATATAAACAGAGGATAATTGATTGGATTTTGGTGTTCTCACATATGACTGAGGGCAATTCCTCCCGTTTTGCTCCTGGCCATTCCTGAAGGTGGCTTTAAACATTCTACTCTGGGTTGCAGTGGATTGGCAACAGGGCTAGGCAGATGCTTAGTCTGGACAATGGCAGGCCCTGATTGGTCAATCCCTTGCTTCCTGCTGTTCCCATCTAGAACCAGACTTGCAGTCATCTAGCAGCATAGACTCTAGGAGTGTGTGAGTAGGCAATAGGTTGCCGGGAAGGCTGCACCTTGTGATCCCAGATGGGCTTGACAGGGAAGGTCAAAGCTCCTCCTGGCTCCTCTGGGTAAGGCTGGGAAAATAACTTACCTGAAACTCTGAAGAGTCTCTTTTAGCCAATGTAGATAATATTATGGCGGGGAAGTGAGGAGGATTTGATGGATTACAAATTCTCAGAATATTCTCTTTGTTTAATTAAATTGCAGCCAACTTTGACAATATTGAATGTGGGAGCTTGCAAAGGAATATTTGCTTATTAAGCGGGATGTAAACATTTGTTTGAAAAATGAACAGTGTTCATAACATTCTTCTGAACTTGAGCCTCATGCATATTTTAAGTAAGAATGACTAAGGTTAGCTAACATTCTAGTCTACCTGCTTTTTCTTTCAGGTGCCTCTTCCTTTAAAATGTTGGTTCAGTGACTCAGTGCTGCACACATGTTTCTTTATACAGAAGGTGTTCTTACCTGTTGTGAGTCAGCTATTAGCAAGAAAAGGAACAGCTTCAAGCACCCACAGTGAAACTCTGAACAAAAGTCTTTCAAAATGGATGCCCTCCAGATGTTCTGGATTCATGTTCTCATAATCTACAGTCAGCATGGACAATGGTACATCAAGCTGAAAAAAAATAACCTAGAATAAACCCTGCCCAGCTAGATGATCTGTCTTTTACCTGATAAATCATTAATGTAGAACTTTTATATTGTTCATAATTATCCTTGGTGTGGAAAGAATAAAAACCAGATCAATGATCTGGGCATAAAAATACAAACAATGATTGAACTCTGTGTTTATTTGGGTTTCTATACTTGGAAATGTTTTGAATTCTTATTATTTATATAGCATTATCAATATCAATAAATGATGAATTAATTTTCAATATTGTTGAGCTTTGCAACTTTACCACCACATGTGGAAGAAAGAGCCAATCTGTCCATTGTATTTCCAGCATTTTGAAGAAAAGGAGCCACCCCCTTTAGCAATCATGACTGAAGTCATGATTGCGATAAAACATCTTATACTACTTCTCTCTAAATATAATGTGAATGTAATATTCTTTTTTCCACTGAAATTCCCACTGTTTCATGTCTATAACTGTATTGAAATTTTACATCCATTTGATCATACAATCTTTAACTTGTTCAGGTTTTGAATTGTATTTCATTATACAATTGTGCCCAGAAAATGTTCAATTTTATGGGGTATAAGAGTTCCAAATTCAGCCAAATTTTTCAGTATTCCCCTTTTGTTTCCCATAATTCTCAAGTTGCTTACTTGAGGGTATTGGAAACAACTGAGTATGGGTGAACATTGTGCAACAAAAGCCTTGAGGGATCTTAATTTTGTCCTGTTAATAATAAAATCTTGTACTCTAAACAAATTTCTTAGTATTTTCTTCATCATAAAAATAAATATTCAATAAAGAAGCAAGACGGGAGACTTACTCATTTTCTGTAATTATCTCAGAGGTTCATAGGTTAATATTAGATAGTCTCTAGAAAATTGTTTATTTTTATGTATTAACCCAGTCCCTGTGTAATAAGTTTATTATTGTAACCATAGGTCATAATAATGTGACATACCATAAAATACAATAAAACAAAATCACAATAAAATAAAATTAAAAAAGAGTGCTAGAGACAAATAAGTCAAAACAAGATAAGGTCAGAGCTACAATTAACTGAAAAAAATCTTTCTGAGTTTAAATGATGACAAAGCAAAAGTAGCAACCTGACTACTAATAGTTGGAAACACATCTGCAAGGAGATAGTTCAACCATTCAGGGTCCAAGTCCTTCAATTCACCTACCATCAATAATTTGGCCCTAATCTCATTGTAAATGGGGCAGTAGTAAATGATGTCCTTCATTTGACTGGTACCACAGGGACAGAGATGCTGTTCAGCAGGGTGCTTACAAAAGTACAGTGTCTGTACTGTAGTAGCATTTTTACTGGCATCCTTTAAAAAAAACACCTATCTCTAATATTTTCTCTGTTCCAAAGGGAATAGGGAATATATTTGTAGGTTAGGCAACAAAAGTTTACTCTATTGATTCCCAGCTGTTTAATAGGATTTTTGAAGGCTTTCTAGTTTCTTATAAATGCCCAGCAATGCAATATGTACTCTGATGGTGATGGAAGTTAACCCTACCTCTATCCTTAGATAAGCAGCAGGGGTGCTCTGGGGAAGTCCCGAGGTCTTCCTTATGAAATTGTTTTGGACTGTTCCAACTGGGCTATAACCTTCTCATCTCACCCCCAGATCTTAGCCCCATACAGCATCTGGTCTATCACCTAGCCCCATACAGCATTTGGGCTAAAACCTCGCCCTAGAATATTTTAAGTGCAGGAACTATGAATTTAATTTCCACTCTGACCATGATGTCATTACTTAGCTCAATTATTAGTTTGAGAAGATGGTTATTGATGTTTGTCCTTGCAAGTTTCTTCCATAATCGGGACCTGCCAATTGAATCAAAGGCAGAGGTAAGTTCAATGAAGATGACAGAGTTGTTTTGTATGTCTGTTTATATATTTCTGAATGAGAGCCTTCGGAGTGGCACAGTCATCTATTGTGCTACGTCCTTTTTGAAATCCTGCTTGTCCGGATGGATAAGTTTTGTTTCTTTCTCCCAATCTTCTAATATGTTCAAAAGATATTGGATGTAAAGCTTAGATGAAATGTCTAGCAGGCTAATTGGGTGGTAATTACTCCTGCCATTGCCCTTTTTGAAGATTGGACACATAACTCTTTGATTCCAGTGGGAAGGTACAACACATATTTTGTCTATTTTTGAGAAAAATCTAGTCGGGATAGGAACCCACCAGGAATCTTTCATCCTATATACATCTGAAGGTATCATATCATCTCCAGGGGCTTTTCTGAGGACCAGGGCTGAAATCAGCTGTTTACACTCAGATTTTGTAACAGCTGGCAACTCTGGTAATATATTTGATTCAGTGTAGGCTGTTATTGGCTCAGTGAATGAACAGCTATAGATAGAGGAACAATATTTGGTCTAGTTTTCAGCTTAGATACATGCACAGGCAGGTTGTTGTATGTAGCGATATCATTAGCCACCAATTCCAGTTCCCGTGAAAGGCCTGCCTCTTCCATTAAGTTGCTGGAACCCTAAGGAAATATAATCCATTCTGAGATCCATGTTAGGCAACTGGCATGATAGTACAATCTGAAATTTGGAGCTGCATATGTAATGATTTGATATCAAAATGAAGCTACACCTGGACAAAACCAGATCATATTACCTCAAATTTCTTATAGCATCAGCAAAAACAAAACAAAAAACAAAGAAAAAAAACAAAAAACAATCCTCTTTTTAAACATCTTTAAGGGGTCCAATAAACACAAAATAATATTTCTGAGAAATCAATTTTTAAAGTATAAGAAGTATATGTTATGTTGAAGGTAAATTGTGTTCAAAACACAATCTCTCAGTCTTTAAAGCAACCTTGCATCAACCTTAAATCAATTGATTCAAGGTATTGATCCCTTGTTTGACCCAAGCATTCCAATTAAATATTTTCCCTGCTATTTTCAAATTTAGGTTATTTCACAATGTCAATTTCTCATGTGATTCGGGATCAAAATGTAATCGCTTACCTGTTAATGACAACATGTGCCTGGTAGCTTTCAAGGCTGGAAGCCATGGTTAACAAAATTGTGACTTGGTATGAACCTAGCCATGGTCCTAACTCTTAGCAGTTTGGAATCTAATAATTGACACAGGGGAAAAACAACAGATAAAGTGAAGTATGGAGTGTACGTAGGGAAACATGTGACTGTTACACATGCTTAGATATAGGCTAGCTTCATAACGCACAAATGTGGTTCAGTTTTGTATGAACACAATTTTATGGTTCAATCTGTAGTGCAGATCCAGGCAAATTGATTCATTCAGTAAATTTGGTACATTCTGGTAGAGTGGGTGCAGAGTGGGTGCCCTGCAGGTTCCTTGTATTAAATGCCATCTTGTGGGCCTGAGGAAATGTGCCTTCTCCATTGTGGCCCCCACCCTCTGGAACAGCATCCTCCCAGAGATAAGGACAGCACCCTCTCCTAGGCCTCCAGAAACCTCTTAAAACCTGGTTTTGGTTAGAGGCCCAGGGTTGATTAATCACTGTATTATTGCATTTCTGGGGCCCTTGTTTTTTTAATTTCATGTTGTTTATAAGATCATTTTAGTTTGGGCTGGTTTGGTTTGGTTTGATGTTTTATCTGTTTTTATGGATTTTTTGGTTTTGTATGCCTCCCAGAGCCCATTGGATGGCTAATAAATTCAAAACAAACAAACAAACAAATGTGCCATTACAGAATACCATGGTATATTTAGCACAAGTAATTAGCAAAGCCTCTGTTATAGGTGAAATTGTAACAAGGCCTGGAGACTAGTGGATTGTTTAAAAAATTATGTGGAAAAACAGGATTTTAGGGGGGATTTGAATGAAATGAGAGGAAGCATGAAGCAGATGTTCCAGAAGAGAATTCCAAACACAGACTAAGCAAGAATAAAGGACTAATTCTTTTGTGGGAGCAAGGGACTTTGGGTGGTGAAGAACAGTGGAGCTGGAGGAGTGAGGACTTCATGCTGGAATGTAGTGAGGTAAAAGTTAAGGGAGAGTTTTGGGGTGAAAGGGCAAATGAAGGATCTAGGATCTTGGAGCACTTGTATTTTTTTACATTAGATTAAAGAGAGAGGTGTCTGTATTACAGACAGTCCTCTACTTATGAACTTTCGAATTACGAACTTTTGCCAATACGGACAAACCTGCTCGGAACTCCAACTCCAACCTCCAACCTCCCAGAAGGTGGGACAAGGCTGGGAAGGGTTAGTTTATGGCGTGCTGCATACATATGCTTGGCAGCACCCATTGCACGTTGAGAGGTGAGCGTGCACCATTTTGGATGCTACTGTTCGTTGATGTGTAGTGACTTTGAATTACAATATGTTTGCAATTAAGTGGAAGAGTGATAATGAGGAAGGGGATAATGCTAAGAAGCATCAATCCATCTTGATGGAAATGAAGGTAGAGATATTAAAGAAAACTGACCAGTGGGAGAAGATGGCCAATGTGGATGGAATGATCCTTAAGAACAAAGAGAAGATCATGGAACATTTGAAAAGTTCAGTGCCTATGCGATTAATGATAATAAGCAAGAGGAGAGGAAAAGTGATGGAAGAGATGGAGACACTACTCAGCATGTGGATTGAAGATCAGCATCAGAGGCATGTGCTGCTTAGCCTAATGCTGATCCAGAAGGTGGCTAAAAGCTTCTTCCATGACTTGCAACAGAAGCCTGGTGAAGGTGCTGCTGAGATGTTTGCTGCAAGTCGTGGGAGGCTTGTGTGCTTTAAGGCTCATGCAAACCTTCATAATGTGAAAGTGGGGGGCGAGATGGCGAGTGTGGACAAGGATGCAGCCAAGAAGTTCCTGGAACCCTTAAGGACATCATCAAGGAAGGTGGCTATTTGCCTCAGCAAATATTCTATGTGGATGAAATGGGGCTTTATTGGAAGAAAATGCCAGACAGAACATACGAGGAGTAGAAGACTATGCTAGGCTATGAAGGATAGACTAACTGTCCTACTCGATGGCAATGTTTCTGGTGACCTGAGTCTAAAATCACTGCTAGTCTACCATTCTGAGAACCTACGAGCTCTCAAGAACATTTCAAAGGGCTCACTTCCTGTTGTGTGGAAGGCTAACTGGAAAACTTGGGTCACCCTTCTCATCTTTGAAGACTGGTTCATCCCGGAAGTGGCCGCAAGAAAAACATCCCCTTGAAGATTCTGCTAATTTTGGATGATGCCTTGGGTCATCCACCTTACTTGGGCAATTTCCATCCAGATATGAAGGTTGTGTATCTGCCTCCGATCACCACCTCCCTCCTTCAGCCTATGGACCAGGGGGTGATAGCAAACTTCAAGAAATACTATCTTTGCTGCATGTTTAGGCAGGCAGTTCAGGCAACTGAAGGGGATTCCCAGATGACCTTGCACCAGTTTTGGAAGTCCTATGACATCTACAAAGCTATCAAGAACATTGATGCAGCCTGGCTTGAGGTCACCCCCTACGAACATAAACAGAGAGTGGAACCATCAGTGCCTCAGTTCATTCATGACTTTCGAGGGTTTGAGGTGGTGGAAAAGGAGTCACAAGGCATTGTCAGTTGGTTGCCCTCAGCAAGAAGCTTCAGCTTGACCTGGAGGAGGAGGACTTTGATGACCTGTTAGCTAATGTTGAACACTTCACCAAGTTGTTCTCAGCTGTCCATGATGCAATCCACTGCTACAGCATCATCTATGCAGAAAAGAGGAAGGCTACCACCCAAACTTCACTGGACCACTTCTTCAGAAAGGTGGAAAAACATGCTCTATCAACTCTGGAGGATGAGCCTATGCCATTGCCGTAAGGTAAGAACTATATTGTGTGTGGTTTTTTATTTTTACTTGATTGGTTGGACTGACGAACAAAACAGACTTACCCTTGGAACATAATCTGTTTGTAAATAGAGGATTGTCTGTATTATTTTTATTATGTTGTATATCTCACAGGTTTAACAGTTTTCTCTGAGAAGCTTTAACAATAACCAGATCTTGTTCTCCCCCCTCCAAAGCTGGGACCTTTTTTCATTCAATCCCCACCAGTATGTACTGAAAGACTGACTTTAAGGCTGTTCATCTGCTTTCAATCATCCAGGAGATAATCACTTGATGTACCCATCCATCCTAAAAGCAGATAAACCAAGGGATAAGGAAAAAATGGGCAAATCTGAATTAATGTTAAAAATGTAAACAAAACAAATTCAAGAAACAAGGTGGAAGAGGGTGACTATTTACATGAAATAGGACACTTCACAAATGAAATGTGTTTGTTTTTGCTTGGTGCGATGTGCACATGGAGATCAGTGAATATATTGTAGCTTGTTGGCTTTCTATGCATGTAATATGAAATGTGAATTCACAGTTGGTTTCTGGGTTTCTGTATTAGTCCTGATTTGTTTTTGTGACTTATCCAAGATCATAACCAAACCAGAGAACTAAAAGGCAGAAACTGCTTAAAAAGAATGAGGCTTGGCCATAAACACCATTGGCAAATCTGGCTTGTTTCTGGTGTGTTTAGTTAATCCTTAACATGAGCTAGATCACTCTGGATTCTTTGGGAGGAACAGCATTATCAAAATAATAAAAATAAAATTTAAAATAGTATATTATGTGGGAAAACAACCAGAGAATCCTCAGCATCATTCCTCAGGTAAGGAATGGATGACACAAGCATAGATTTGAGAAAAGAAAAAGACTATCAGATTGGAATGGAAGGAATATCTTGGCATTAGCAGAAATAAAGCATGCCTACTGGCTTTATTTAAAGAAATAAAAGAGAACTAAATGAGTAGTTTACATTATTCCACATGTGATGTTAGTGGGATACCCTTTGCTGAGGGCTATACCTAGCGTTTGAAAGGCATGCCAAGAGGCCCATTCCAGAAAATGGTGGAGCCAGGACTAAGAAGAAAATTTCAATTCAATTCAATTCAGTTTGTTTATTTAATGCATTTACTATGATTGTTTCTTATGACTTTAATAATTTTCCCTTTTAGTCACATTAAAAAATCAACTAAGGCATTTCTGGGGACCTTCAGAATTATCCTCAGAAGCAGTATAAATCCAAATATCAGTGATTGGGGATCATGGGAAGTGGAGTGGTTCTGCTTTGATGTTCTACTTGTGCTCCGGATGGTTTCTGGGGTGCTGAACAACACAGGCTTTTGGTCTGATCCATCTGGGTTTCTCTTACCTTCTTAGAATTACTCTGAATCTTCTGAGCTCTTGTTACACAATATGTTTTTCTGAGGAACAAGAAAAAGCAGAAGTGAATCCCAACATGCTTCTTTTTGCATCAGTTTGCATTTCACGCAATTCAAAAGTTCAAAGAATCATGGAAAGCTTGCAAGGGATCAGCTAAGTATCAAGTAGCTGACTGGTTGAGAAGTTAGACAATTATCTACGGTGTTCTCTTCTCCTATGCCCATTTCGAGTGGGGGGGAGGAGGGAGGCAAGTTTCGCATAGATAGTCCTGAGTCCCCAGCTGTTATTTAACTCTTGCCACAGGAAGCAAACTAAAACAATCATCTGACAGATAATGTTCTGGAGAATGTTCAAGTGTTCTATGGCAGGATATTTTCTAAAGCAAATAACTGCAATATTTGAGTTTTCAAAATAAAGACTTGTATCTGATTCCTCTGCATATAGAAATGGCAAGGGCAGTAGCATGCCATTTAACACACTATTTTAATGTTATGTCTTTAGTAATTGTTATATATTATTGTTTTAGTTGCTGATTTTTTAAAATTGCAGACTGCTTGTATTTTTTAAAACAGGAGCACATGAATATTTTAGATAAAATAGGTTGCAAACAAATGGTTGTACACACATGGATATGAAAAGAGCATTTGATTTAGTATCAGAGAAGGTGTGATTAGAAGGACTGCATAGTTGTTGAGAAACTTTGGGAGGGTTTGAAAGAACACATTTCAGCCCCCTAAAAACCCCACATTCAAAGATTTGTGGCATCCTGAATCTTCATTCTGTTCATTGTTTCTGGATTAGCTTTTCCCAAACCTGTTGCCTTTCAGATATCTCAGACTACAACAACCCTCATCCTCAGCAGTGCTGCAGGCCAGGGAGGGTTAATCCACAGAGCACAAGTCTCCAGAACATTCTAGGATCACACTGCTGAAATTTGACAACAAAAGCACCAATATTGGGCACTATGATTTTTCATCTTATTTGGATAAAATAAAGGACAAACTGGTAATAATTAGGCCCTGTAATTGATTTAGCCCTTTATTAATCCCAAGCAGAAAAGATCCAACATTTTCCTGGTCATACTCCCTGCAGCCTTGAAGACGAAAAATATGAAAATGAAAGGGTGTCCCACAGTTGCAAGAGGGTTGTCCACCTTTGCCGTAATGAATGGAAGGCAGCTGTGGTTTGATAGTGGCAAGTGCCCCTCAGCCACAAAAAGGGTGGCCTGCTGATCAGGAGGTTTCCTTTTGTGATTAATGGCAGGAAATCAATCCACCAGAGATATCACTATCTCATCACTGGACTGAAAGGCCAGATCACTGATTACCCACTATTAGTTGACAGCATAACATTGGTGAGAGAGAGAGAAAGAAATGAGAGGCGTAAGTGTGTGTGTGTGTGTGTGTGTGTTGGGGGGAGGTATTGTGGGATTACACCTGCAGTCCTAGATTCCCATTTAGCACCCTGCTTGAGCTTCAGGGCTGAAAATGTTGCCCACTCAGCTCACGTACCAGTCTAGACTAAAATGGCTATGTCTCACAACAGCTGAAAGTTTCAGCGTCTGTGTCAAGTGGTTTGCTGAGAGGGAATGCTGATTTTGAAGATATAAATATTTGCAAAGGGAGGGATGCACTGAGATGTGGGATAGCAGGAGGAGGAATATGTTCTTACTGGACTTTTGCTATGGGAGAAATGTAGTGAGAAATGTTTTGCCAAACAAGCAAGGCATCCTGCGATTAAAATGAATTAAAAATCACTGGAAACTTTCTCCTCTGCCTATGTAGTAGGTGATCTGCTTCAGTCTGATTCTTTTTTTTTTTTTTTGCTGGGGTAAAAACTCAAAGAACATTTGATTGCTTTCTCATTTCATTCTTTCCTTGAATAAATATGCCCAGCTGCTTCAGCATTTTTTCATAGGTCTGCATTCCAAACACTCCTTATCTTTGGCTTTTGAACTTTTATCCATTCGTCAATGCCTTTTGTGAAGTGTACAGCATCAAAGAGTAGGGGAATTATTTTGGAGAAAGCCTGCTCAGAGCAGAATGCAATGACCTTTTTTATGCTTTTCTCACAATTTTTTTACTATTATGAAATCTAGTCTTTAAAACATACCTTCAGGATCTGATTGTACAATCAGAGCAATCTGAGAGAGCTACCAGATACTGTTTGTCGTCTCAGAGTGCTCTTCAGTTGCAGAAGGGAATCAGAAATATTCAGCATAAAGTCTCTGGCTTGGTTAGATCTTGTAATTAGCAGGAGACTGGCCTACATTTTACTGTACCTTCAGGCCTGGGCTTCTATGAAATCATATTCATGATGTCAGGGACCGAGAACTGGAGAACACCTCATTACATTCTAGATTAAGCTACTTTTTCTCCTTGGCACTAGCCTGGCTTCAATATTTATTAACAGAAATGAAAATTTTATTTGTTAGCCAGCAGTGTGAAGTTGTTTTACCATAGCTTCACATTGCTGGCTCATTAAAATGCGATTCTCTCAATTATTTCTGATAGATTTATTATTTGCTAGATTATTTTTATAATCTTTTCCATGTTGTCTGACGCTCTTTTCTCTCCTACCCATGCTACTTTCATATTTCATTCCACAGGTTCTCAAATATTTGTGTTAGTACTTAAAAGACCAAGTGTAGGATGGTGAAATGACCATCAGTGGAAATTAGTCAACATTGCAGCATCCTTCTTAACTCCCATTGCTAATATAGAGCCTGTATTTTCCTGAAGCCTTTACAAAATGAAACTAGTTACATTACTGTTTCTTGCTGACCATTCTTTTTTATATATAATGTTGCATTTTAAATTTAACTTAAGTGTTGGACTCTGAACATTTTCAAGAACTAAAAACAATAAGTAAGGGATTTAAAAAATAAACGTATAAAAAGAGTGCAGTCTTTCTATGATGATTTTTTATGAAAATGATGTTTGAGTTAGATAATACTTGAACTGATTTTTTTTATCCTGCTAATGCTTTTTTGTATCATTGTAAAGCTGTTGTTTTAATTGGATGTGCAGTTCTTCAGTGTAGAAAGACATTTTCTGATCCCCGTCTAAATTGTTTTGGCTGCTATTGAAGTCCAAATCATCTAAGTGTATTGAGCACAAAGGGTGGTCTTGCTTTTTTGGTGGGGTATTGGCCTTTCTGTAGCTGAAACATATTTATGCTATATGAGAAAAATGTACTCTGCCTATTTACATTTTTTAAAGATGTAAAAGAAAATTATAATTAAATCTTGAGATAATGTGTTTAGCCAGTGATTACCTGGGGCAAGCCTATCATTGCCATGGATACCATTAATTTCTATTCAACAGGGCATAGAGGCAAGGGGATTCCAACTTGGAAACAAGATCAAGGAGCCCAGCTAGGGATCCAACTGGGCATTAAGGCAGCCATTTTGTCTCAACAGAAAGATCTATGTCACATTTTGTTATGTTGGCATTTCCTTATAATAACCTCCTTCTCCTTCTCCTTCTCCTTCTCCTTCTCCTTCTCCTTCTCCTTCTCCTTCTCCTTCTCCTTCTCCTTTGCATTTTATTCTCCTATTTTTCAAATACATTGTTTTCGTTGTTTAGTAGAAGTAGAGTTTCAATTAACAATATTTGGGAGAGGGCCATGGTGGGTGGGACAGTGGGATAAAGTTAATGGATCTGTGCATGTAGAGAGGCTGGTCTGGACTGGTCTAGAATGTTCTAGTTTTATCCCAGGTTTGTGGATTAGGATTTTTTAAAATTCCATTTAATCTCCTTTAGGGTTTACATTATAGTTTTACTATAGCATAAACTCTAATATAAAAAAAAGCTTATGGCACTGCTGATTTTTTTGTATCACACTGCTAAAATTGAATTACATGGTTGGGGAGCTGCAAGAAAGAGGATCAAGGGTTATTTTTTTACCATTATTGTTTTTAGGGTAGATATTGTGATTCCACAATAGATGGAGATACATCTGTGAGATACAAAGGGCTCCATATGTTTGATATCAGTTCCAGTTATACCAATTTAGTGTCACCTGTCTATCTGTCTGAGAGATGGCAGCTACACTAGATTACACCTGTCTGAAACTTGGTCAGTTTATAATAACCTGTTAAAAATCTTTCCAAGACAGAGATTTAAATAACAAGTCAACTCAGTATTTACAACTTCTGCCACTCCTAAATGTGTGAACTTCAACATCTAACATTTTCAGTACTCTAATGGCCTTGCTAACTGGGGAATTCTGGGAGCTGAAATCTGTGCATTTGGAAGTTGCCAAGGCTGAGTTATCTTAGTTAAGCAAATGATTGAAAAACTCTCATGATTCTCCTCTCTATTTGCTAGCTAAAAGAGTTTCACTATCCCTAAAATTATGCATTAAAACACTAAAGACTTCTTTCTTCTTTTGATCCCGTCTTTCTCCAAAATCCCACTTTTTAAATTTATGATAGCTAATGACCATACCTCCAAGTAGCTGATTTATTTCAAAAATATTCCTAAACAATTTGATTAACAGGGGACTTGAGAACACCAAAAATATTAAAATTAAAATAGGACTGAATGAGATTAAGCTAGCAATAAACCTTGTAGATTTTTAAAGCACATTCTTTTACTGGAGCAAAGATTTATGATCCATTTTTATTTCCTTTGTAAAGAATGATATATATTTCTTGATACACCCATTATATGAGAAATCTTTGGTGGAAAAAATGCTGTTCCCGGATTGCTCAGAAAAAATAATCAGTGTAATTATCAAAGTTATTGTAAGATATGAATGATTTCAGGAAATATTGTTACATATTTCCCTATGAGGTAAAGCCCATTTCTATGGTAAAAGAGGAAGTTGAAAGCAAGATTTCTTTGTGTTTTTGTTTCAGTAGACTGTTTTCAGATGTACTGGGTAATATTCATTTGTTAGAACATGGAGTATTTCATTGATGGCCCTTCACCTCCTAAACACTATTGCTTCTCTGAAACTCAGTTTCTATGGATTCCAATCTATGAATGGACATGTTCTTCTGTTATGCCTCTTCCAGATATTTTTTCCAATTCATATTTATTCATCTTTTCTCTCACTCTCACAGATGTATACAAACAGTCCTCCTGCCTGAGTCTCTTTGAGAGACAGCTTGCATTGAGATAATACTTCGGGTTTTTTCTCCCCACAGATCTATTTTTCTTATGATATAGTGAAACTAAGAAATTAAAAATAGCTAAAAATACATTATTAACATAATGGAACTGTGGGAATGAAACAATATAGTTTTGTTTACCTGGAAGCCTCGGGCTGAGGACTTGATCTCTAACAGCAGCATTGCTCAGAAAATTTGTTGAACATTTCATAGCTTCCCACAAATGATGAAAGGAATTAGAAAAGTAGATTTATCCTGTTAATTCTGTTCTTAGTATCTCTGCTGCTAGGAAGGTGATAAAAGAGTTCAAATCATGTGCTTTCTTTGGACAAAAACCACAAACCACAGACAAATCTACCCAGGGTAGTGCAAGTGTTAGGAAAAGAGACTATACGATGACTTTCAGTTACGTTCATTTGTATCTAATGGGGCGAGAGGTTTCTTCTCAGCTAGAAGTATAAATAATAAATGTGAATTTGGCTAGGATTATAAGCTATACCTTTTTGGGTGCAGAAATATAAGCGTTAATGCAACTGTAGGGAAAGTATAATCTATTAAATTCTATGCCCATAGTATTATTTAAAATAATTAAGACCCAGTATCAGCAAATAGTTTATTACAAAAATCATTTGTTTAAAACACGGATAAAACCCACTTGACTAAACTAGGACTCATGGTTTAGAAAACCAGCTCCTGACATTTTACCCAGTATCAGCAAATAGTTTATTACAAAAATCATTTGTTTAAAACACGGATAAAACCCACTTGACTAAACTAGGACTCATGGTTTAGAAAACCAGCTCCTGACATTTTACCCAGTATCAGCAAATAGTTTATTACAAAAATCATTTGTTTAAAACACGGATAAAACCCACTTGACTAAACTAGGACTCATGGTTTAGAAAACCAGCTCCTGACATTTTACCCAGTATCAGCAAATAGTTTATTACAAAAATCATTTGTTTAAAACACGGATAAAACCCACTTGACTAAACTAGGACTCATGGTTTAGAAAACCAGCTCCTGACATTTTACCCAGTATCAGCAAATAGTTTATTACAAAAATCATTTGTTTAAAACACGGATAAAACCCACTTGACTAAACTAGGACTCATGGTTTAGAAAACCAGCTCCTGACATTTTGGAATATATATTTCATTGTTCCAGCCATCATCTGGTCACTTGCAGATGGGCAATAATTAGCACCATATAAAAGTATGAAACAAACTAGAAAAAGAATTAGCCTGGATTTATAATCTCTTGCTCCACTATTAAACATTCAGTTTCATGAATATGAAAATGCAAAGAAATTTTGACAGTGGAGAAATAATAATTTGGGAGGTTTAATTGTCAATAAGGCAAAGATGAAGACCTTTGAGGCTCTCTCTTTGGAATGATGAGAACCACCTGACCAGTTCCAATATCTTCAAATAAGCATTATTTTAAAGGAATTACTAAAACAAGGCAACATTTCGAGACTTGATTGAATTTTAAAATCTTATAACAGAAAACCCAAACCACTTGCTAGGCCTTATTTACAAGTTGCTGGTGAAATATGATCCAGAAACTGAAAATTTTTAAAATGGTATCATTAAATGGCTGCAGAATTTAGGCAGAACAATTGATATGCAGCAATGAGAATTTCAATGAAATAAAAATAGTAAGTTTACAATTAACATAACTAACAGAGAAAAGTAGTGTAAGATGTTTTACCAATGGTCTATCACTCCAGTATTAAATGCTAAAATTGGCAACTGATTTTCTAAAAACTGTTTGAAAATATACAGATCAGGATAGATCATTGTTCTTATTTAGTGCCAATGTTGTAAAGGCCAACAATTTTGGAAAATAATTCACAATAGAATGAACTAAATTCTAAAAGCTGAATTCCCTTTCCTACCTGCCATTTTTCTATTAACTATCATATTTCTACAAAGTAAACCAAACAGTTGCTAGGATACTTTGTGCTTCTCATTGGAAAGTATGGACAATTCCTTAATTTGCCATTCTTCAACTGAAGTTGTGGGAGTTTGTCTTGATGTCTAAATTAATTTCACATTTGAAAAACAAATCTGAATCAGACATTTGTGCTGGGGCAAGGGGGAGGGCTTGGCTTTCTCTGTTTTTCTCTGTCTTGCAGGCTCCTAATCTTGGGAGACGTATTATCGGGTTGATCAGGTTATAATAGGAATCCCCACAGGATACCTGCCTTGAATTTCCTTAAACCAAGCAAGTAAATTCTCACCCTAATCAACACCAGGCAGACCCCATCCACTCACAAGTGGCGCCAAAAAGACAATACAACAGTCTATTTTGTGTTTCCCTATTAAATGACTTAGGAAAAAAACACATGACTCAAGTCCAAACTACTTTTGAAAAGGCTTTGAGCAATCTAAGATGCCATTTTCCACAGCAACTTTTCCTGTTATTTGACCCCTTGATTCTATGCCCTTCTAATTTTTTCCCTAGGACAGGCACTGATGGGAATCCATTTCCCTGCCTGTCCCCCACCTTCCCTTAAGTATCATTTCTTGATTGGAAACACTAATGGCCACCCAGCTGCTCTACTCAATGGAAACAGTCAGCAACCCTCACCTTCCTGTAGTCAGGCACTGCCATCTCCAATTCCTTTCAAGAAACATTCTTAAACAGAAGAATTCTGAAAGCAATCATTTCCTCTTGGAGCTTCCTTGCTTGATTTAGTTATTTATTTTAAAGGCCCTAATAATAACTAATTACAGCATGGCAGCACTCTGGAGGCAGTTTCTCAACTCTTTTAGAAAATGGCAAACTGAGACAGCAAATCTTTTTCAAAGGAAAAAAAAAGAGGGAAATCCCTAGCACCCCTTACATTTGCTCCCTAATGGAACTTCAGTTATACAGAATAAAACAAACTTTCTTTCATTACCAGTGTACTGTATTAGAAAAGCAAACAAATAAACAAAGCCTCTGCTACAATGCCATTTTAGTCCAGCACTCATTCCAGTAATCTAGACATGAATCTGCCAGCAGAAAGAACTTTCCCCCCTTTTTTCTAACTGACTGATTTTTGTAACATCAGGTTACAAAACAACAATCATGGTATTATTCAACTATGGATTTGGTGGTGGTTTTGGGGGGAAGGGATCTACAAAGCGATGACTTCTTTTTACTCTGTATTTAATTCATTTATTAGCTTGAAATAGTTGTATCCTTCAGAGATTATGAACAGCTGGAATCTTCTCCACTTCATTTCACTTCACCCTCCAAATTTCCCATTCCAACTGAATTTATTTTAGGGGAAAAAAACAAAGCCATTGGCATGCTGAAAAGCATTACATGCATCAGCACACTTCTTTCCAAGGATGTTTCTATGTCTCAGAGGCATTATTAGAAATTTGAAAAATAAAATAATAAAAATAAAAAATGGTTGATGGCTGCAGGCCAGCGCTTTGTTTAGATGCAAGGTATGCTGAGGAAGATTAATATCATCCTTTGGGTCTAAAGGGTGTGTTAGGGAATATCCTCATCAGTTTATATTCTGACAAATAAGATTCTACAAATATTCACACCCTCTATGGAAGAAGTCTAGGAGACCAATAATCAATGAACAGAGGATAAGTGAATCAATTTCTGCTCATGACTGAAGAGCAGAATCCCACTGAACAGCAACTGCAGGAGATTGGTGGCAGGAGAAGCGTGTTGGATTCTTGGAAATATGATGATGACTGATACGGAAGACCGATCTATGTACCAAATGGACCTTTGCCTTGATTTGGCAGGGCTCTTCTTGTGCTCTTACTCACATGAGGAATGAAGTAAGCTCTATCAGTTGGACATGGAATGCTGGCAGTGTGGAGGAGCTTCCGTGACATAGGATTGTTCTTTTTTTATGGCAAACTGATTTTCCTAGTATGAGATAAAACAGCAGCTCATGGGTCTACGGATTCAGCTCATGATTTGAAAGTATTCTAAGCTATAATCTTGATATGAATTAGTATGCATGAGACTCACCTGCATACTTTTCCAGCACAAAATTGGTAATATAGTTGCTTTATAACATGATCTTAATGCCATGCTCCTTTCTGTTTGTTTTATTAGTATTAATACTATTAGCAATGGCAATATTTAATAGTTCAACATTTCTATTTCTTTCAGATTGAAACCTCAAAATCTTACATCTGGAAATAAAATCACATTACAACAAAATAGAGAAAATAGAAACCAATCATAATAAAAAAAAAAAACAGCATTATATAGCACTAGTAAACAACCTGATGTTAAAGGCAATGAAGCAGCAGATGTCAGGGATGCTTGACTCAGAAGCAGAAGAGGAGAATTAAAAAAATATAAATTGTCCCAAACTCAGCCCATACCAAACATTTCTCAGAAAAGCTAGATCTTAAAATGGGAGTTGGGCGGCCAATAAATTTAAATACAGCATACCTTACCTGTATGGGAGACTTCCTCAAGGTTGGGATGCCATGGCTCTTACACATCCTGCTGTACTTCAGTAGGTGGGAAATCCAAAGCAGAGCCTTGTTATGCTGAAGAAGACAGTCTGTAATATGGATATTATAACTTATTAATGTTTTATTTGATTTATACCCAGCTTTTCCTCCAGGAACTCAAGACAATGTACACAGCACTTCCTCCTCTGATATCTCTCCAGAACAACCATCCTGTGAGGTTGGGCTGAGAGACAATGATTGGTATAAAGTTTCCCTGTGAGCTTCCATAGCTCAGAGTAAACTTAAAGCAGGTATACTCTGTTATAGGCCAACACTTTCATCACTGACTCTCTATTTTTGCATTCAACAACTTGATCAATCCCCTATGGGGATCGATTAATAACCTTTAGAACAGCTACTGACCAGAATTTTGTATAATTACAGATCCAAAAATTCAGATAATTGGAAAACAGAAGAAATAACGTAAAATGAGCTAAAACACCACATAAGTGCAAATATTAAAATGATAATAAAAATATGTCTAAAAGATAATTACTAAAGTACAGATAGTTAAAACAGTAAAATACAAAAATACTAGTGTACAAAAACATTAAATTACTAAACCAGCAAACAAATAACATGCTAAAATACTACCTAGTGTCAAACTAGTGTTAAAGATTCATTACATTGCTTCAGATAACAATACAACTATATAACATTTCAAAAATCAATTCAAAACGAAGTAAAAGGGAAGACCCCAGATTTCTATCTTTCTACACTTTGTGCTCTTCATTACAACAGTGCTGTACTCAGCAAGCTGCCAAACAAAATCTTGCTATTTGCCAAACAGTTTTATCTGTAAGTAGAAAGTTTATATAAAACTTGTCCAGGTCCCTGGGATTTATTTATAATAGGAAGGTTAAGATGGAACTATGGATGTTCTTTGAGAAGGGGCAGTACAAAAAAAACATGGGCCAATGTTTCTGGTGCACCTTCCCCACATGGGCTGAGTCATTCCTGAGTAGCAGTAACAGCATGTTCTTATTTCTGCCCTTGAGAATTGTTGAAAGGAGGATGTTAAAATGTATAAAGGTGGACACTCTGAGATACTTTAAAAATACTTAAGATACTGGATTGCCTGAAAGTTATGTAACCAGATCCAGAGATTCTATTCTGACCTGTGTGTTGTAACCCAGAGGATGGCAATAAAGTTGGGGCAATAATTGAAAATATCTCATCCAGGCTCTAATTTCAACTCTTATTAGGCCTGCCTCCAAGTGCATTTGGAATGCCAGATGCCCCTTGGGATCTTTTCATTAGAAATTTGGACCGAATAGTCTCAGATAGAAGTATCATGCTTCCTAAACCTAATTCCATTCTATAAAGGAATTGCACTAGGGGTTTGGCCACAAGAAGCTAAATGGCATCTGAACTACATCAAGCTCCCCTTGGGTAAAGGGAAACAAAATAGCCGCGATGCTTCTTTGAGTCTTCTGGATTGCCTATAAAAAATGTGCTTTCCAATTATCAAATGAGTGGAAGAACACCCGAAGATAGTTAAAACAAAGTACCTCCTCAATTTTCTGCCTCTTAATGGTCCAGGTCAAGGTTCTAGGTCTTTTTGAAAATACCATGAACTTGTTTATATTGCATTTTCACAGTAACTGCTGCTCCCTGAGGAAGAGTGACAGACTGAAGCATCTTCTTTACCCTATTAGCGATAGTGATAGTATCACTGCATCATCTGTGTATAGTAACAAGGCAGCCTACTGCAGTATTCAGCGGAACAACAAGGCAGTGTACCTGTTTACCTGCAGTATTATGTGGATGAAATTCTGTTTTAATTAAATGACTGATCATGGAATGGATACAGAAATTAAATAACAATGAGACAATAATGCAGCCTTGTTTAATTTTCTTCTAACAGGGACCACTACACTGCAACTGCTGCCAATCCCAAGTCTGGATAAAGGAGGAGGTCTGACTCCCTGCTGAGGGACCATAAATCAGGCATGAACTTATGGGAATGAAAAACACATCACATTTGAAATTTAGCAGATAACTGAGGTCAAGGTGCTGATGAAAAGTATGCAAGAATCCAGAATTGTGAAGCCAAGAAAACATTTTAAATTTGGCTACTTGGAATGCTGAAGTTGGCTTCCAGGTCAGACATAATGAAATCATTGTTTAAAATCTATTTCAATATGACATTTTAGTGTGGCATTATCAAAATTACAACTCATTGGATCTGGAAATGTCCATGTCCACATACCAGAGAGTGACAATTGGATGTTCTTGTATCGGTCTGGAGGTGAGAAATACCCAAAAAGTGTTGGCTTTGCTATAGACCACATAGCCTCCCAAAACATTATGAATTTCCAATGAATCTCAAGTCAATTAGCAGTTCTATCAGTTGCAGGAACAATACAAATGCACATAACTACAGCTTATGGTCCTACAAAAATAAGTACAAATAAGACAAAAGATGAATTCTACGCACATATACAAATAATCCTGGATTCTTGCCATTTGTTGTTGTTCAGTCGTTAAGTCGTGTCCAACTCTTGCCATTGAGGCACCTAATTCTGATAACCAGTAACCTAAATTCCCATGTTGCTAACAATTTGCAAGGCTGGGAAAATGCCTGGGCAAATTTGTATTGGAGAGATGAACAACAGTAACTTGTACCTGCTATCATTTGCAACAGCAAATGAGATAACAATTGGAAACAGCTGATTTCATCATCCACTAAAACATCACATAAAACAAACTTCACCCAGTGGAAAAGATATGTAAGTCCTCAATTATTTCCTAATCAACACCAGTTTTTAAACATCACTCAAGGATGTCTGGTCTGAGAGGCACCAACTGTGGCTCTGACCATCACCTTGCACAGGTATTCCTACAACTCCAATTGAAACAAATTGCTTGTAATGTTGCCACACCCAAATGTTATGACTGGGTGAAGCTACAAGATCCTACTTGCCAGCAATAGTTCCAGCTAATGCTTACCAACTGATTTGCCACCCATGAACATCTGCAAGATGTAAGTGATCAAGCAATATAGTTTTCAGTAATAAAAAATGTGCCAAAGAAACATGTCCTATAGCAAGACAGTGAACATAACTATGGATTTCAGATGAATGCCTAGCATTAGTAGACAAACAAAAACAGTGGAAATTCAAAGATGTGATACAGTATCAGCAGCTTAATAAGCAAGTTTGTACCTGTCTCAAAAGAGAACAGAATGCTTTTGGAATAATAGTGCAGAAGAATTTGAAGAAGCCATACATTGCCAAGAATATCACAGCCTTTACTCATATTATGCTGCCTCAGAAGTAAATTTCAATGTTCAAATGACAATATCAGAAACCCAGAAAGCAATTTTGTGTGCTGTGGAACTGCACAATTGAATCATTAGCTCAAGTACTTCCCACTCTTTTAAAGTCACATTTTAAAGATACTCCAGTAGAACCACCAACTCTTTATGGTCCAGATGAACATATGAAGAATATAAGTCCAGAATCTCTGAAATGAAAACTACTATTCATCAGTTACAAAGAAGGAAATCTTCTGGAGTGGATGAAGTCATTATAGAAGCGTTAAAGGCTGATAGTGACATGTTAATTTGTTGGTTCCACTCCTTCAAATGATTTGGAAGCCTCAAAAATATCAAATTCATTGAAACAGGCAATAATAGTTCCAATTTTCAAAAACAAGAATGCAAGAATTACTGTGGGATTAGCTTGTTCTCAATTGCGGGCAAGGTATTTTTGAAAGTAATCAATGAAGCCTTCAGAAACAGCTACTATATCCCAAGAAGAACAGGCTGGTTTCCTGGAAGAGGATGCTGTGACCAAATATGTGTAGTACAATAATTGCTCAGGAACACATAGGTATGGAAAGAGCCTCATTGTTGCGTTCATTGACTTTGCAGTGGCATTTAATAGTATTCATCAGCCAACACTGCAGAACGAATGCCTGCTAAAATAATAGCCTCCTGCGGCAGGTATATAAGGAATCACAAAGCCCTATCCATGTTAATGTCAAAATGTCCAAAGACTTCCCTGTACGTACTAGTGTGAGGTAAGGCTGCATTGCATCTCCCTTGCTGTTCAGTGCAGTCATGCAGAAAGTTTTGGTTGGTGTGGTGTCAAATTTGGACAAGATGAATTCATCACAGATCTTATGTTTGCTGACGAGAGCATGATTTTTACAGAAAGTGAAAGAGAAGCTTTTGAAATCCTACTCACTATAAAAGCTGCTGCTTATCCGTATATAGTAGCTTAACTATCAATATTGATAAAACCAAGGTATCTGCAAATGATGGCTCCCAGGAAACCATCTAACTTGATGGAGCTCAGCTGGAGCAAGTTGAACAATTTAATGAACAGAAAGTAGCTGCAACGGCCGATATCAACAATTGAACTGCCCGGACTGCTTCAGCCTTCAGAGTACTGGCATGATGCCTCTGGAGAAAAAGCAGCATCAGCATTGCTACCCAAATGTGTATCTATCAGTCATTGACACTACCTTCCAATGCTGCTATATGATGCAGGATCTTGGACCTTGCTTCAAAATTATTGAGAAAGTTCAAAATATTCCAAATGCACTGTCTGCACCAAATATTAGGGATGTTAATCTATATATAAAAAAATAGAAAATCAAAGTATTAAAGAATGGTGCTGCAGTTGGCTTATTGTAGTCAATGAAATCCAGATACATTGAATGTAAAGGTTTGGACCTATCTGCCCCCATGGTGACTTCCTTATCTACTGCTCTGGAAATCACACCCTGTGAGTTGGAAAGTACTGCAATCAGCTCCAAAGAAAACTTGGCTGAAGTATGTGGAAGAAGTTCTAATGAAATTTAGACTCAGGTTGATAGAAGTTAAAGACCACAACAAACAAAAATGGAAGAATATGCTACGTGAGTGGACCCATAGCACTTAAACCCACATACTGGCTGTAACAATGTTGTGGGTAGTTATCAGATGTGAGTTAAGGACTTTGAGATTGAGATCAGTAGGGACCAAATTAGATAGCTGACCTATCTCATTATACTTTAGTTTAAGATTGTATTTTCATACCCTCTTAGAGAAAAGAGTTAG